AGTCTATTTTATTTTGGGAAAGGGCAACCATTAACTCTTCCTTGAGTCTATAATTCTTCAGATCTTTCTGCCAAGACTCTGAGTGGGAGTATACATTTGAGCAACCATTTTGCAGGACAATGATGCAGTATCTATAAACACTTAAAATGCAACAACCCTTTGACCCAGTAATTCCACTTCTAGACCAGTATTCTTCAAACCATCTGTGGCAAAAGACCAGGTTCTTAAAATTTCCAACCTGTCACACATCACTGATCACGGATGTCACGGCCATGTCAAACCGAAAGCTCTCAGATTCTGTATTTGTCTCCTCACACATCAGTAACATCCAATTATGGATCACATTGTGGGCAGCCCAGGTGGCTCAGCGGTTTAGCGCCGCCTTCGGCCCAGGCTGTGACCCTGGGGACCCAGGATCGGGTCCCACGTCGGGCTCCCTGCGTGGAGCCTGCTTCTCCCTCTGCCTATCTCTCTCTCTCTCTCTCTCTCTCTCTCTGTGTGTGTGTGTGTCTCTCATGAATAAATAAATAAAATCTTTTAAAAAAATCACATCAGTCTGTAGGGCACTTTTGAGTATTGCTGTACTAAACTTGTTTTATTCTATGTGGATATGTTTTTGTTTTTTAAAGATTTTATTTATTTATTCATGAGACACACACCGAGAGAGAGGCAGAGACCCAGGTGGAGGGAGAAGCAGGCTCCATGCACGGAGCCCGACGTGGGACTTGATCCCGGGTCCCTAGGGTCATGCCCTGGGCCGAAGGCAGCACTAAACTGCTGAGCCACCCGGGCTGCCCATATGTGGATATGTTTATGTGAACACAAAGATGTAAATGTTATAGAGTTATTCCTAATACCAGATGATTGGGAGCAATCTAAATGTTCAGGAATACAGGACTGGGAAAACACCTTGTGGCATAGTCCTATAAGGCACTACTATTCAGCTATTAAAAAGAAAAGTATAGGGGCCCCTGGGTGGCTCAGTGGTTGAGCGTCTGCCTTCGGCTCAGGTCATGATCCTGGGGTCCTGGGATCGAGTTCCGCCTCAGGTTCCCCGTGGGGAGCCTGCTTCTCCTTCTGCCTATGTCTCTGCTTCTCTCCATGTCTCTCATGGATAGATAAATAAAATCTTAAAAAAAAGAAAAGTATAAACTCTGAGAAACATTAAGTGCAAAAAGCAAAATGTAGAGCAGTATTACAAAGTCTGCTCCTTCATAGTAAAAGAGCAATTATAGGCTTAGATGTACAAACTGAAAACTAGAGGTTGTGGCAGAGACGGCTACCTGTCCATCAAGTCTCTTCTCCCTTTCTCCCCCAGCTAGAGACTTTCTGGTGGGCATATTGCCCAGCATACCTCGCAGTTATGAGCCACCAGATAGGTCCTCACTAATGGAAGGTGAGCAGGAGTTGTGGGCGCCACTGTCGAGTCTAGGCCTTGCGACACTGGCCTGAGGATTTTTCTTATTTTCCCCTTGCCTCATTTGGAACCCAAATGCCATGGTGCCCCAGCCTGGCCCGTGCTGGGGATGCCAATTCCCTACAGCAGAGCAACAAGAGGAAGGAGCGGGGGATCTTGAATGGCCGGGGTAACAGAACTGCCTTGCCAACCTCCGCTATTATCGCTGGAACTGTAATGGGTGTCTTAGTCCATGCAGGCTTCTATCACAAAATTCCAGAGACTGGGTGGCTTATAAACAACAAACATCCACTGCTCATGGTTCTGGAGGTGGCGAGTCCAAGATCACTGCCCTGGCAGATTCAGTGTCTTGTGAGACCCCTCTTCCTAAACAGCCGTCATTTTGCCCTAACATCACATGGTAGAGAGGCCACGGGAACCTTCTCGGGGCACGTTTATAAGGGCATCAATCCCATTCACTGGGTCTCTGCCCCCATGGCCTAATCACCTCCCAAAGGCCCCACCACCTAACACCATCACTGTGGGGGTTAGGTTTCAGCATATGGATCTTGGGAGGATAAACATTCAGGCCATAGCATATGGGATAGAGAAATAAACCTCCATGTTGTTGGGTCTTCTGGTTATAGCAGCTGAGCCTTTCCACTTACGATACCAAAGAATACACAAGACTCTCTAAGAGTGATCGTTTCCAGGAAGCAGAGATGTATCGAGAGAGGGATTTAGGGGCACCCTAGCTGGCTTAATCAAGGGAGCATGTGACTCTTGGTCTTGGGGTCCTGAGTTTGGGCCCCACGTTGGGCATAGAGTTTACCTAAAAAATAAAAAGAAATAAATAAAAATTGAAACAGAGAGGGAGATTCAAATTTCATTGTAGGTCCCTTTGTAAAATTTGAATTTTAAGAAACTTCTATGCAGGTATTAGCATATATTCATTTAATTATTTTTATTTTTTAAAGATTTTATTTATTTATTCATGAGAGACACACAGAGAGAGAGAGAGAGAGAGAGAGAGAGAGAGGCAGAGACACAGGCAGAGGGAGAAGCAGGCTCCATGCAGGGAGCCCGATGTGGGACTGGATCCCAGGACTCCAGGATCACGTCCTTGGCTGAAGGCAGGGGCTAAACCGCTGAGCCACCCAGGATCCCCTTAAAGATTTATTTATTTATTTATTTATTTATTTATTTATTTATTTATGATAGACACAGAGAGAGAGACAGACAGAGACATAGGAGGAGGGAGAAGCAGGCTCCATGCCGGGAGCCCGACGTGGGACTCGATCCCGGGACCTGAGCCAAAATTAAGAGTTGGACGCTCAACCTACTGAGACACCCAGGTGCTCCCACTTTGTTCAGTTCCTTAAAAACACATAATTAAAGATAAATCACCCTGAAAGATTAACTAAGAGCGTGTATTTGAGGAAGGATGGTACAATGGGGATTTTTCTTCCTTTCCTTCCGAAGGGACCTTATTTTTTTTAAGCTTGACTAGTTTCCGGTTATTCTCAGGTAAATTTCCTAAGGTGCCTCTTCAAGATTCATACCTGTAGCGGAGGGAGGATGCTATAAACCAGAGCAGAGGAACCACGGGGTATAGAGGTGGGAGAGAGGGCCAAGGTTGGTTCCTTTGGGAGAATTGCATAAAGGGCACCAACAGGCAGGCATTCTTTGTCTTCTGAGTGGGAAGTAAAGATATAATTAATTCCTCTATTAACAATCACCTTAAGGGCCGCCTGGGTGACTCAGCGGTTGGGCATCTGCTTTTGGCTCAAGTCGTGATCCTGGGGTCCTGGGATCGAGTCCTGATTCAGGCGCCCTACAGGAAGCCTGCTTCTCCCTCTGCCTGTGTCTCTGCCTCTCTCTCTCTCTGTGTCTCTCATGAATAAATAAAATTAAAAAAAATAATCAGGGATCCCTGGGTGGCGCAGTGGTTTAGCACCTGCCTTTGGCCCAGGGCGCGATCCTGGAGACCCGGGATCGAATCCCACGTCAGGCTCCCGGTGCATGGAGCCTGCCTCTCTGCCTCTCTCTCTCTCTTTCTCTGTGACTATCATAAATTAAAAAATAAAAAATTAAAAATTAAAAAAATAATCACCTTAATATATAAACTTCATCAAAACTTTTTGCCCTTTGGCTTTTACCAAAGTTCTTTAAAAAAGTATTCTCCAAAAACCCAGTGTGGATGGCAATGTCTTTTACATTATAGACCTATTTCCTTACTGTATGTTGATCATATGCTCATGATGTGAAATGAAGCGTTTTTTTTTTAAATTTTTTTAAATTTATTTATGATAGTCACAGAGAGAGAGAGAGAGGCGCAGAGACATAGGCAGAGGGAGAAGCAGGCTCCATGCACCAGGAGCCCAACGTGGGATTCGATCCTGGGTCTCCAGGATTGCGCCCCGGGCCAAAGGCAGGCGCCAAACCGCTGCGCCACCCAGGGATCCCAAATGAAGCGTTTTTAATCAATCAAGATTTACAGCAATGGCAATTGGCAGATACTTCAGATGCTTCTAATTTGGCTGCATACTTTTATTTTTTAAATTTTTTTAAATTTATTTATTTATGATAGAGAGAGAGAGAGAGAGAGAGAGAGAGAGAGAGAGAGGCAGAGACACAGGCAGAGGGAGAAGCAGGCTCCATGCACCGGGAGCCCGATATGGGATTCGATCCCAGGTCTCCAGGATCGTGCCCTGAGCCAAAGGCAGGCCCCAAACCGCTGCGCCACCCAGGGATCCCTGGCTGCATACTTTTAAAAAGTGGTTAAGGAATAGAAAACACTTAAAAATATCCATCTTAGCCTTTAAATGGCATCTAAACCTTAGAAGTCAAATATCATAGCCGATATTTATAAAAGGAATTGTAAAAGGAAGACTAACGCAACCACAGCGTAATACAACCGTGTAGCCATGAATATATGATAAATCTAAGCAGCAGCTAAACATCAGAGCCATGAGTTTTAGTTACAAAAATTCTTAGACCTTGGAAAGAAGGTATAGCAAGCCAACTGTAAAGCTGGCCCACAATAACCTCTGCCTCCTGGTACTCATAGTCTATGACCAAGATGGTAGGCCAAGGGAGGCCATTTTGGTCTTGGACTAGTTTCCCTGGACTGAGGTGATCACTCCCACGGAGCTGGCAGCAGGACCTGAGATTTACTTCTAACAAATAGAATATGGCCCGAATGATGGGGTGTCACTCCCCGACTAGATTATCAGGGCAGGTGACTTCCATCTTGCTAGTGACCTCTTTCTTTTGTTGGCTTTGATGAAGCAAGCTGCCCCGTGGGAGACTTCCTGCTAGGGGGGCAAGTGAGAACAGTCTTTGACCAACAGCGAGGGAGGAACTGGGTCCTGAAAACCACCGCGTGAGTTTGAGCCTGGAAGGGGATCCCAAGCCCTGGAGGGTCCCGTGGCCCTCGCTGACCCCTAGACTGCAGCCTTTGAGAGACACTGAGCAGAGGACTCGGCCAAGCCTCGTCCGCGATCCCGACCAGAGATGCTAAGATCACAGAGTGTGGGACTCTAAGCCACTGAGTCTGGGGGTAATTTGTTACGCAGCAATAAATACCTAAGACAGAAGGACAGTCGCTTCGCATTTTTATTATGTTGGCGGGTCATGGCTTAACATCAGTTAGTATTGCTTAATGGAATCAACGTACAAATTGTTATACCGTGAATCGTTTTCAGTTAAGACCACGTTTTTCAGACTTTGCCAAAACAAGCCTTCCGCCTTGGGGTTGTCAGGCCATTGAAGGATGGAGCTCTTGCAGATCCTCTGCCGCAGCCTCAGATACTGAGAATGCTGTAACACTGGCTCCAGCAAAATAAATATGATCACATCCATATTCTCATCCATGAGCCGCTGCAAGGCCAAGTAGAATGCCGTTTTAAAGTTCCAGTTTTGGGCGTATTCTTTGGTTAAGACGAATATGGTTTTCTTGCTTTGGTTTATGCTCTGCATGAGGTTATCGATGATGGCTAATCCCGGGTCCCAATCTCTCTCCTCTAAACAGAGGAGCACATTTTTCCCTTCACTCTCTTCTAGGTGGAAGCGCAGCTCATTTATCACCCAGTCAGTAACAGAGGCATCTTTGGTGTCATAAGAAACGTAGGCATCGTAGAAAGTTTGGGACGTGGAAACAGACCTGTAGCCTTTTACCTTAGCCAAGCACACGTGATAGATAAACCAGACATCCCAGTAAAACCAATGGTGACCCAAGGCAGCCAACATGACGGTGACGGTGATAAAGGACGTGAAGATACACAGCACCGCCGCGAGGGTATCCGAAATACAAGTTGTTAGCTCCAGACTCACAATGCTCTTCCCCCTTTGATCCCCGGGACTAGAGCAGATGACATCTGTCAACCTAGGGATGGTGACATTCAGATTTTCATCCATCCATCTTCGAAAATCTCCAATGTCGCAAGTACAGTCAAAAGGGTTTCTACCTAGTTCCAGAATGGCTAAACTGGTGTTGGTCTTAGTTTGCAGCGTGGATTTGTTGATCATCTTCAGCAGGTTGGAGCTCAGGTCGAGGTGAATCAGACTGCTGGCTTCGGAAAGAAAGCTGGCGGGCAGGTGGGAAATCCTGTTTCGGTGCAGTAGCAGCGTCTGCAGGGAAGACGTGAATTTGGAGAGGCTGTTGGTTATAGAGGACAGCCTGTTTCCACTCAAGTCCAGCACCTGGAGACGTGGAAACTCCTGGAGTAACGTCCAGTTAAAGAAATTTAAAGCGTTATTTTTTATGTACAGTTGGGTGAGACTCTGGGGCAGGTTCAGGAAAGCTTCGTTCGGGATGCGCCGGAGGTTGTTTAAGGATAGATCGAGCCGTGTCAGATTCCTGAGACTTGTAAAAATTTTCCAGTACTTGTCACCTTCGGCATTCCACAAAATGTCAAGGCGGTTTCCACTGAAAACTAATTCTTCCAGGGACACGCTTCTCAGGTCTTGCTCCGTTAAAGTGTAGATGCTGTTGTGGCTCAAGTTTAAGACTTTCAGTTGTGTTAAGTTTTGAATAAATCCTAGGCGGTGCGTCACCCCTGCTATTCGGAAGTAGTGTGCATTGTAGCTGAGATCCAGAACTTCTAACTCGGGCAGATCACTGAGCGCGTTGTCATCGTCAAAGTCTAGTCTGTTGTTTGTCAAATCCAAATATTTGATATGCGGCACCGCTGAAAATTCATTTCCATGCAACACTTGACCGTTGCCGTTCGAAGACAGATTTAAGCAGGCGATGTCATGAAAAGCTTCAAATTGCTCTCGCCCGATGAAGAAAATACTGTTCAGGCTTAAATCTAAGGCTTTGCCATAAACTGTACATTGTGGCTTTATTAAAGGATGGGTGTTATGATAAAAATTTGAGTGTGGGTCAAACTCAATATCCGCTGAGCGTGGCTTAAGGACATGCCTTTGAGAAGAAGAGCCATTTACTTCATTCTGCCGGATATCATTTACCAAGGGTGATATTCTGTTTTCTGACAAGTAAATGATGGAGAGGTTGGGGAAATTTTGGAAAAGGGTAAAATTAATTTGCTTAATAAAGTTGACACCCAAGTTGATAGTCTTTAGATTTGAGAGACCCATCAGGGGCTCGAAGTCTCCCGCTCTAAGTTCCTGGAATACGTAACCTCTTAAGTGCAACGCCTGGAGCAACTTAAGGCTAGAAAAGTTGTGGGAAATATTAATGTATTTGGGATATTTCGCCTTTACGTAGTTATAAGATAAGTCAAGTATTTCCAAGACGGGCAGCTTCGTCAAAAATTCCCCGGAGGCTATTTCGTCAACTAAATAATTGAATTCCAGATGCAGCACCTTCAGGTTACGCATGTTGTCAAACCACGTTGCAGGAATCTTCCGGAGGGAAGTGCTAGAGAGGTTTAGGTAGCGAAGCTCCGTCAGGGTTTGAAAAGCAAGAGGATGGATCTGAATTGAAGCGCCTCCCTCACAAGGTGTACAGGGAAATGGGGCATTGAAGCACCTCGGACAGTTCCCGCTTAAATCCAGGACTCTTAAATTTCTCAATCCCTTGAAGTCTTCCTGACTGATGATTTTAATCTTGGCGTTGCTAAGATAAAGTTCCCTCAGGGAGCTTGGCAGTTTCGGGGGCACATGGACAAGCTTATTAAAAGACAGAGACAGCACCTCCAAATTCGTAAGACTTTCAAACGTTCCGTCTTCTATGTAGAAAGTTTTGTTGTTACAGTTGTTGCCAAAATAGCAATTCCAGCTCAAATAGAGCCTTTCCAGATTCGTGAGCCCAGACGTATTCTTTTTCGTTACCCAGATGATGTTGTTCTGAATCAGGCTAAGTTCCTTCAAAGACCCTGGCAAGCCAGCCGGTATTTGGTATAACTGGTTGTCTTCAAGGAGTAACTGGTTTAGGTTTTGTAGGTTGAGGAATGCCCCATCTGTGATATTCATGCCATTTTTGTTATCAGGATTTTCACTCAGGTGCTGTGGGTTGGCGTTGTGATTTAGATTGATCTTAGTGAGATTTTGCAGCCCTTGGAATGATTCGTTTGTTATGTGTGTGATGTAATTATCAGACAGGTCTAGCACTGTCACGTACTTGCCCACTGTTTGGGGAACTTCTTGAAGTCGACGACCGTTGCACTCTGCAATAACAGAGCCATTCTGTCTTCTCTCGTCACAAGGATAGCTTCTAGAATAATTTGCTTTGGTGACGAACTCATAGGAGTCAGAGATGAGCAAGAAAAGGCAGGTCAGAACCAAAGACCGAGGGCTCATGTTTTCCTAAGGAAAATCAAAAGTGGAAGCGCAACGTTAGAGTAGCAGCATTTACTACGCATTTCGTGATGTGACTATCAGCGCGTCATCACACCGTGCATGCGTTTTGAGGTGTGAATTCTCTCAACAATTCAACAAATTGGTTTGGAACAATTGAATTTTTTAAAATTTATATATATATGTATATATATATATATTTTTTTTACTGGAATTCGATTTGCCAACATATAGTATAACAATTGGATTTTTTTTAAATCCTTTTTTTAAAATTTTTTATTTATTTATGATAGTCACACAGAGAGAGAGAGAGAGAGAGGCAGAGACACAGGCAGAGGGAGAAGCAGGCTTCATGCACCGGGAGCCCGACATGGGATTCGATCCTGGGTCTCCAGGATCGTGCCCTGGGCCAAAGGCAGGCGCCAAACCGCTGCGCCACCCAGGGATCCCAACAATTGGATTTTTAAAATCTGTTTTTCTGGGGATCCCTGGGTGGCTCAGCGGTTTAGCACCTGCCTTTGGCCCAGGGTGTGATCCTGGAGTTCCAGGATCGATTCCCACATTGGGCTCCCTGCACGGAACCTGCTTCTCCCTCTGCCTGTGTCTCTGTCTCTCTCTCTCTGTGTGTCTCTCATGAATAAATAAAATCTTAAAAAAATAAAATAAAATCTGTTTTTCTTTTTCACATATTTATTTAAATTCTAGTTGGTTCACATATCGTCTAATATTGGTTTCAGGAGTAGAATTTAGTGATTCATCCCTTACATATAACACCTAGTGCCAGGTTATGAAAATTGTTCCGAACGATTTTAATTTCTTGCTGCCTTCAGCTTCATGGTGCTCAAAGAAGTTGAAGATGGAACTATCTGAGATTATGATGATGAGAAAGCCTGGGAAGCTTTTGCAGAGGCATTAATTGAGATGCCGCATCACCGTAGCAGGTCTGATGCTGGCCCGTGGCTGTGGTTCATCTAGGTCTGTAGCACAGCAAGCTAGATTCATAGCTTCAACCTATTAGCATAACTCTTGATGAAAGTTGGCCCGTCCCAAGTAGAGTTCAGATCCAGCTTTCATTATGGGGTCATCCGAGATCTCCAAGCCAGAGTCTCCTCTAGCTCATCTACATAGCCATCTCTCTACACAACCGTATCTCTTATTGCCATTCCCCCCAGTTTTTTCCTACCTCTCCGGTGGTGCCTCTCTGGATCTCTTATCTCCTCGAGTGACAAAGCGGACACCTTCTGTTGATAAGGATAACAACGTATCAGGTAGTGTGCTCACTAGAAACATTTTCTCACCCGTGTTAATGCTCAGAGCAACACAGTGAGGTGGGTTCTATGTTTTTCACATTTTGTGGGTGAAGAAACAAACCCAGACACTTTGGTGGCTTTCAGAAGGATAGGGCAGCCCGGGTGGCTCAGCGGTTTAGCGCTGCCTTCAGTCCAGGTTGTGATCCTGGAGACTCGGGATCGAGTCCCATGTTGGGCTCCCTGCATGGAGCCTGCTTCTCCCTCTGCCTGTGTCTGTGCCTCTCATGAATAAATAAATAAAATCTTAAAAGAAAGAAGGATGATACACCGTAGAGCTGGATCCCAGTCATTCTGATTCTAACATCGTGTTTTAACTGGTAGCCATGATGCTACACAACCTCGCTTTAAAGTCTTCATGCCAGAACAGTGCCTCAATTGTAGAATGCCTACCAGTGCTCACATGTCCCTTAGCAGATGAACATTGGCATGCAAAGCTATTTTGTGGCTAATATTGTAAACTTCCGTGGGGAAGACGTGATGTTTCATATTTTTATGCAGCCTCTGTAACACTTTGTAGTGCCTCACTTTCTGCAGCCCTCTCTCGTTTTTTTAAGACAATTTATTTATTTTTAAAGATTTGAGGGGATCCCTGGGTGGCTCAGCAGTTTGGCGCCTGCCTTTGGTCCAGGGTGCGATCCTGGAGTCCCGGGATTGAGTCCCGCATCTGGTTCCCGGCATGGAGCCTGCTTCTCCCTCTGCCTGTGTCTCTGCCTCTCTCTCTATGTCTATCATGAATGAATAAAATCATTTGATTTATTTATTCATGAGAGACACAGAGAGAGACGCAGAAACATAAGCAGAGGGAGAAGCAGGCTCCCTGCAGGTAGCCCAATGCAGGACTTGATCCCTGGACCCCGGGATCACGACCTGAGCCAAAGGTAGATGCTCAACCACTGAGCCACCCAGGCGTCCCTCTGCAGCCCTCTCAACGGAGGGCTCAATATATTACTTCTGGTAGTTATACAATGCAATAAACAGACTAATGTGATTCGTTTGATGAGGGTCATGGTCAACTCTCAAAATCTTATTTCACTGGGCATGGAAACCAACCTTCACTAAATTGTACTTTTCACTAGAGCCCAACTCACATCCTTATTGAGAGTGAAGCCAGGTAAGTGCTTCCTCTTTAAATTCTTCTAAAGTTGAGGGTTAATGAGCTAACAGTCACTGTCATACCCTTGGTAGTGAATAGTGATTATTCTGGGGATCAGTGATCACTGCCAATTCATCGCACTCGAGGAAGAGCCAGCTCCTGATGAGATGAAAATATATAAGGTGAACCAGAACTCCCAGGCATTTCCAGTTACTTTCAGTTATTTCCAAATACAGCACAATCTAGGTGCCGCTACTTGATGTTTTACTGGAAGAAAGCCCTGCTTTACCTGGTTTGGTAGGCAGAATTTTAAGAGGGCCCCTCTGGCCTTTGCCCCCTCACATTTCTGGTGTTATCGTGCTATGTCATTGTGGCAAAAGGTTGGTTATCTAGATGGGCCTAATTTAATTGTATGTGCCTCTAAAAGCGGCGAGTTTTCTCTGGCTCGCAGCAGAAAGGAGAAGCAGAGATCAGAAGCAGGAGAATAATTTGACTCTTGCAGACTTAAAGGTGGACGGGGCCGCTGACAGGGAATGCAGGCAGCCTTTAGAAGCCGAGAGTGGTTCTCTGCTGACAGCTTGCAAAGAAATGCCCCCTCTCCCATCCTACAACCACAAAGAATTAAAACTGACTGACACCCTTAATGCACTTGCAAAAGGATCCTTACTCGGAACCTGGAGAGAAGAGTCCAGCTTGGCCAGTATGTTGATGTGAGCCTTAGGACATCTAGAGCAGAGGACCCAGGCAAGCCCACTCAGACTTAACTTACAGAAATTTGAGCTAATAAATGCGTATTGCTTGAAGCCTCTAATTATATTAATTTGATATGTTAAATTTGAGTTTGTGATCTTCCAGTGGAGATGTCCAGTAGGCAGTTACATATATGCCCCTTGGGCTCAGAGGAGCCTCATGGATGGATGAATTTGGGAATTGTGGCAAGTGTACACCATAAAGGATATTCCACATTTCTGTTCCATCAACAACGATTTTCTCATCTTTTTTTCCTAGTGATTTTATGATTTCACTTTCTTACAGTGAAATATTTATCTCACTGGGATTGTTTTGGCTTAAAACATGAGGGGCAGGGACGCCTGGGTGGCTCAGCGGTTGAGCGTCTGCCTTTGGCTCAGGGCATAATCCTGGGGTCCTGCGATCTAGTCCCCTATCGGGCTCCCCGCATGGGGCCTGCTTCTCCCTCTGCCTGTGTCTCTGCCTCTCTCTGTGTCTCTCATGAATAAGTAAATAAGATCTCTTTAAAAAAAAAAACAAAAACATGAGGTGCAGACTTACAATATTTTTTTCTCAACAGAGACCTGGTTGCCCCAACACTGTTTATGTATTTATTTTCGCTGAGGTATAGTTGACACTCAGTGTCACATTAGTTTCAGGCACACAACCTAGTGATTCGATAACTCTGCACCTCATGCTCTGCTCAGCACAGGTGTGGCCCCCACCTGCCACCACACGGCGCTATTACAGTACCTCTGACTGTACTGCCTGCGCTGTACCCTTCATCCCCGAGGCGTACTCATTCCCTACCTGGAAGCCCATATCTCCCATTGCCCCCTTCACCCATTTTTCTCATTCCCCACCACCCCTCTCTTCTGGCAACTACTAGTTTGTTGTCTGTATTCCTAGGTCTGCTTCTTTGATTCGTTCATTTTTTTTTTGTTTTTTAGATTCCACAGATAAGTGAAATCATACAGTATCTGTCTATGACGTATGTCATTGAGCATAATGCTGTCTGGGTCCATCCACGTTGTCACAAGTGGCAAGATCTCATTCTTTTTCTTTAAATTATATCTCAATAGCCTTTTTTAAACAAAATATTTAATTTATTTATTCATGGGAGAGAGAGAGAGAGAGAGAGAGAGAGGCAGAGACCCAGGCAGAGGGAGAAGCAGGTTCCATGCAGGGAGCCCGATGTGGGACTTGATCCAGGGTCTCCAGGATCAGGCCCTGGGCTGAAGGCGGCGCTAAACCGCTGGGCCCCCTTGGCTGCCCAGATCTCATTCTTTTTTATAGCTGTTGTGTGTACACTACATCTTTATCCATTCATCTATCGATGGACACTTAGGCTGCTTCCACATCCTGGCTATTGTGAATGAGGCTGTAATGAACATAGGAGTGTGTGTATTTTTTTGAATTCGTGTTTCCATTTTCTTTGGATTCATACCCAGTAGTGAAATTACTGCACCATATAGTGTTTCTATTTCTCAGTTTTTGAGGAACCTCCAACAGTATTTTTCGCAGTGGTTGTACCAGCACCAGTTAACATCCCCATCCCACCAACAGGGCACGAGGGTTCTCTTTTCTCCACATCCCCCTCAACATGTCTTTTGTGTGTGCATTTTATTTTAGCCATTGTGACAAGTGTGAGGTGAGATCTCATGGAGGTTTTGATTTACATTTTCCTGAGGATGAGTGATGGTGAGCATCTTTTCATGTGTCTGTTGGCCATCCCTATGCCTTCTTTAGAAAAATGTCTATTCGGGTCCTCTGCCCAATTTTAATCAGACTATTTTTTTGGTGTTGAGTTGTGTAGTTCATGCATTTTGGATAGCAACCCTTTATCAGACAGACGCTTTGCAAATATCTTCTCACATTCAGTAGGTTGCTGTTTTGTTTTGTTGATGTGTAACATCATTTGAATATTTTTTTGCTCACCAACTTGATATACTCCTTTTATCATATACTAATTTTCTTGTATATTCGGTTTTTTTTAAAGATTGTATTTATTTATTCATGAAAGACACAGAGAGGGAGAGAGAGGCAGAGCCACAGGCAGAGGGAGAAGCAGGCTCCATGCAGGGAGCCCAACATGAGACTCGATCCCGGGTCTCCAGGACGACATCCTGGGCTGAAGGCGGTACTAAACCGCTGAGCCCCCCGGGCTGCCCACTTTCCTGTATATTTGGGCCTATTTCTAGACTCTCTGCTTCATCAATCTGTTCATCATTCATGTGCTAGCATGTTTTAATAATTAATACTTTTAATAATTACAGTTTTAATAATTACAGTTTTAGGGGATGTTAGTATCTTATCGGGCAAGTCCTGCTCAGTGTTCTCCTTTGGTGAAAGGATTACTCCTATTAGACAGTAGAAATTACGGTGGAGAGGGGCGCCTGGGGGGCTCAGTGGGTGAAGCATCTGCCTTCAGCTCAGGTCATGATCCCGGGGTCCTGGGATTGAGGACCGCATTGGGCTCTCCACTCTGCAGGGGGCCTACTTCTCCGACCCCCTCTGCCCACAGCTCCCCCTGCTTGTGCACTCTCTCTCTCCCTCTGTCAACTAGATCAATAAAACCTTAAAAGAAAAAAAAAAGGAAATTATTATGAAGAGAAATAAAGACAGGGAAGAGGTTGGTTATGTAGACTGTCCATCGATTGGGATTTGTCTGTTGTTTTTCTCATGATGAAACTGGGGTAATGGCTGAGGTAGTGCTTGTCAGGTTCCTGCTCTAATTTTTAATTATTAATTAATTAAAAAATTCAAAATTAATGTTTAAAAGGGCCCATGAGGAACAGATGGCAGGGTAAGGCCAGATTGGAGACTGTTCCCTTGGCCTGCTAACCAGCTGTGTTGGTAGGAGCGGCATTTTTAGGTAGTTCGTTGGGCAGGTCCAGAGGACAGAGCTGCCCTGTGTGGCCTCAAGTTAAGGCCTCCACGTCTCATTTCAGAGGCCAAGGCCTCTACTACAACAATGAACAAGTGAGCGGAAAAGCCTCTAGGGGGCACTGGAGACCAGGAGGAGAACTTGTTGAACTCCACTGGGTTTTTTTGTTTTGTTTTGTTTTGTTGTTTTTTTTCAGGATGAAAATGGCCTCCCAGAGAGTGA